TCACTTAAATTACTGGGGAACGGTCCCAGCACCTTGAACTGTAGGGCAGTAAGGCCACAGAACAGCCAGTTGACAGGCCCGCCATCGGGAGGCCTGGTCAGGGACCGGGCCGGGGGGCGTTGATCCCCGGAATAACCTCCGGGTCGACTTGGAACGAAATTATTTTTTAAAATCGGGGGGGAAAATCCTAAGGGACTAGTCCCGAACTTGCCACGAAAAATCCTCACTAAAAGCAAAAATTTGGGCAGACGAGCACCATCCCCCCAATGAAAAGCAGGGGTCACTCACGTTAAAGCCATAAAATTAATGTCGGGGGCCCGAGACGTTCAACGCCTCCCAGCATACAAAAGGGGATTACCAACAGCCCCCGGGCAGTTTTCAAGCTGGCCTGGACACACCTAAAGTCGGTTCCAACCACCGGGGCGGGCTCGAGGGGTTTTGCGGGCAGCCAGCAGAAACACCGGGTTTTGATCAGGCTCTATCCACCGGGGGCCCTGGTCCAGACCGGCCGGGGGGGGCGTTGACCCCCGAACTCTATCCGGAAACACCGGCCAGTAACTCCGGGGACGCAAAACCCAAGATTATACGGCGCATGGGGGGGGGGGAAAAGGGAAGGTTTTGGGTTCAATTTCGGGAAACTGGAGCACAGATCCGTTTTCCTAGATCAAGAGCCCCCACCAGCTAAAGGGAACCCCCCTTTTGGGGGGATTTTTAAATAAAGGGGGAAGCGCTAAACCCGGGGATTATACACGCCTGGGGGGATGTGGAAGGCATTCAGGCTTAATGGGGAACGGACACAGACCTTTCCCAAATCAAGACCCCTCACCAACACAAGGAACCCCCTTCGGGGGGGAAACCAGACAAAAGATGGATACAATAAAATTTTGGAAAAATCCTAGGGGAACAGTCCCAAATTTCCCAAAAACGAAAATCACCCCCTCGAAACAAATACGGGGCAGGAGATGAAACCCCCCCATTGAAAAACTGGGGGCCACAGCCCTGAGACACACGTGTCAGGGGACCAAGACTGTTCAACCTCTCCCACCCCAAAAGGGGGGATTATCAAATAATCTCTGCTGTTTTCTATTTGAGCTGGACAGATACCAAAGTCAGCCCCGACCACGGGGCTGGGGTTCATACGTCGGTTTAATGGAGCCAGCAGAAAAAGGCGGGTTTGATCAGGCTTTGATCTCCCATGGGGGCCTGGTCACAGCCCGGGGCCGGGGGGGTTTTTTACCCCCGGGAAACCTCTCCAGGTAACCAGAAACAAAAAAAATGTTCAAAGTAAATTTTTAGAATTTTTGACCCCCGGGGGGTTAGCCAGCCAGTAACCCAGGAAGGGGGGGGGGTTTTAGCCACCGAAAACCCAGGAAGGGGGGGTTAGCCACCGGATAACCCGGATAGGGGGGGGTGCCACCGATAACCCAGGATAGGAGGGTTAGCCACCGGGATAACCCAGGAAGGAAGGGTTAGCCAGCCAGGATAACCCAGGGGGGGGGTTACCCCCGGGATAACCCGGGATGGGAAAGGGGGTTAGCCACCGGGAAAACCCCAGGAGGTTTAGCCACCCAGGAAACCCAAAAAGTGCATCACGAGGACTCATTTCCATGTGGTCCTTCAATTTTTGCCCCCCGGATGCCACCCCACACCAGTCGACACCACCAGGTACCTACTTACTGCGGGTAAAACAAGACCTAAGTTAAAAAAAACTACCCAGTTTTCCACCCGTGCCGGGGATCAAACCCAGACACTGTGCGGGCGAGGCGTCCCCTACCGGGCCACCCATCAATCTGCATTACTATAACGAAGGCAAACCCTTAAGATCATACACACCTGGGGAAATGAATGTAGCCAGGCTCGATCAAAAGAAGCCCAGATTTTGGATAAAAGCACCTACTGGCTTTGAATTTCCCTTGTAATTAAAATACTTTGAACAAGGTTTTCCCCAATACATTCACGGGGGAAGCTCTAAACCGCGGGGTTAACAACGTGTTTTAAAGTATAGGGGAATCTGATTACAAAAGTATTTATAAAATAATTTGAAAGACTTAAAAACTCCGACATTATGCACGAGAATTAAATTAACAAAATTTTCAAACATAAAATCAAAGGGTTTTTTATTTAAAAGTTTTTTTAAAACATTGTTTTTAAAAAAATAATATAAAATTTTTATGCTTTCATTCCTTCCCGGGAAACTTGAGACTGAACATAACTCGTTTTAGCAGTTTACGGGGCAGCCCCCCTTTACTGGCTGGGGGTTACCGCACAAAGGCCTCACAACATACGTTGCACCGAACCAAAGCCAGAGGGGTCTTACGTTGGGGTTTTCTCGCCCATACTGTACACACCAGGGGCCTCCCGTAGGCGGTTTGGTGTCTTTCCGTCACAGAGAGGGGATTTTCCCTTTGGGTTTTCCGCCCAAATACTGAAAACAGTTTCTGTGCTCCTGTTTGGTTGATCCTTTTGCTCCTGTGGGTTGTTTCCTTTTGGGGGTGGTTGATTTGGTTGTTTCTGGGGACCCAAGCTCTGCAGGACGGATAGTATTCCTCCCCGGTTTTTGGAAAAGGGGTTTTACCCTTTTTTTAACTTTATTTCTGATAAACTTCGGTGACGAAAACGAGTCCTCCTGAAAGCCAAATTTGGACTCGCTATTATCTTTGGGGACGCAAAGTGACTGTTGGGGTTCCCGTCCCACACAGATCAAGACGAGCGAGATCCACAGCAAGTCGAGCACAGCGGGGTTTCACAAATTTTTCAAACCCGAGGCATCATCAACTTCACTCTTGGCAGCTTCCGTAACACACACAAAACAGGGGTTTAAGGGCACCCAAGATACACATAATAATATCTTTAATTTATGAAAAATTTTTCCCCATGCTTGAACCAATACACCCAATATATATAATTGTACTATATGTTTGTACCTAATAACTTGCACTGTATTCTTGAAGTTAGAGTTAACTTCATTTAATGATAAAATATAATACCTAATTTTAATTATCACGAAGCTCAAGTATTGATGGTTATGGATGGATTTTTAAATTTTAGTTGTTTAGCGAAGCTACTGAAACACGTTCCTGCCGATAAAAAATTTTATTGAAATTAAATGCGCTATTTTAAAGGTGCTTTTAACCCATAAGCGAACAGTCAGATAGGCTTCTAATGTAACTAATTTTACAACATTAATACAATTCTCTGGGTTTTTGTATACATCTTACGGGAACAAACTGAGCGGGGAAACAAAACTCACCTTCGGGAAAGAGAGGCACAAGTCAACACTGCCTCCACCCCACGTATCCACACCTCGAGGTAGAAAGAAAATTACATTTTTGATAAATTTCATAAATCGAGAAAGTAATATTCAATATGTGCAAGTTCCTCCCTCCTACTATTTTAAAAACCCTTTAAGGGGGGCTGAACCCCTTATGCTGGAGAAAACCTCAGGACATAATTAAATGACCCAAACTGGCAACACCTCATTTCCCAGGCGTTGTAGGATCCCAAAGAATATGACAGATTTTTACCAGGAATCCATTCCATAATTTTTGGAGTGGCAGGGAAACCAAGGAAGCTCCATGTGGAAATTTTTCTGTCCTAAAGTTCCACAGGCAGAACTCTTTCAAAATCCCCCTCAGTCGCGGTGGGGAACGGGGTGGGTTGGGGGGGCTCTTACCCCACCCAAAAAACCCCCCCCCCCGTTTGGGAAAGGGGGTTTGGGAAAGGGTGCATCTTAATTGATAGATTTACCCTTCTAGAAGAAGTAGGTAGTTTAAAACTGTTAGTACACTAATATTGGGATTATTGAGGCAACTGTAGATAAAAATTTGTAGACCTAAGACTTTAACGTAGGTAGTAATAGACCAATAATGTAGGCATACCCTAGTTACATTAGCCAGGGAGAACCCGGCAGCCCAAGTTTGAATATTGGGCAAAGGTTTGAGACCGCATGCCTTTTTTTCTAAGGGCCAGACACTGTCGGAGCAACAAGTGCCTTGATCACAGGCGGGGGCGCCCCCCCTGTGTCTTCACAAACTAACCTGGGGGAAAATTTTGGGGGAGGCACCTTGACGTAACGATGACCCCCCTCCGTCAGGCCCATACAGTAAACGAGACCTCCCTTTCTCTTTATATTCTGGCCATTTCTGGGGGGGGAAAATTTAGAGTTGAGCTTTTGGGGCCTTTGTGCAGACAGGCGGCCCATGACCATATGTACCGGCGTCACTCCGTCAGGTTAGAAGCTAGTGTCCATTTCTGCATAGTTATACTAGGGGGTACACACCCCTTGGAAACAGGAAATTCTGAGGTGCAGGTAGGTCACTAATATTGACTGAATATTGCAGGAATGAAGCTCCCGTTGCACGTGGTTCTGAGGGGAAGTCCAGAGGGCTAAACTTAGGGAGGGGAAGATCGGAATAGATTCTCTAACACCAAATTAGCCATTTATTCGTGCATGTAGGCGAAAATTGTCTTGCAACATTTGGGAAATCTTCCTATAAGCCACTTGTGAGGATGAAGTGCCGACCTCAAGCTCGGGGTCAACAGAGCTGGCTAGGGGAAAACAACTCGCATGGAGGCAGTCCCAGACAAATTTTCACACTCCAGCTGTGGGTCATCATATGACTAAGACCCGCGTCAGGGAAACACTTCCTATTTTCCCGCCTAATCTAACCCATCTACGAGCTCCACGCTTCCCGAAAATCGTTCATCCTTACCCCCCTCCTCTTCAGAGCATTGATCCTGGGAACATCAAGAGCCACGCCGTCCCTCTTGACTGCGTCCTTGTGTTCTTGACCGTGTTTCCCGATGTTGCCTGCTGCGAGGGGCTATTATACCCTCGTGCTGCCGGAGAAGAATCGCCAGTCAGTCTACACAGTTCGGGGCTGTACGAATACTTCCCGGTTTTTTTGCTTAATTTTATTAATACAGTAAAACATTTAACTGGGTGTATACAATGTACCAAATACGAAAAATTTAAGTCCTAACTGCAGTGTACTCGCCTATTTGTGGTTGCAGGGTCGAGTCAAGCTCCTGGCCCCGCCTCTTCGCTGATTGCTACTAGGTCCTCTCTCTTTCCCTGCCTCATGAGCTTTAAACATACCTCGCCTTAAAACTATGTATGGTTCCCGCCTCCACTACGTCGCTTTCTAGGGTATTCCCACGGCCTGACTACTCTATGACTGAAGAAATACTTCCTGAGAGAGTGAGAGTGAGTGAGTGAGTGAGTGAGTGAGTGAGTGAGTGAGTGAGTGAAGCGAGTGCAGTCCCCAACTAGTGTATACTCGCCTAATGTGGTTGCAGGGTAAGACTCGGCTCCTGGCCCCGCCTCTTCACTGACCGCTACCGGGTCCTCCCTCTCCCTGCTCCATGAGCTTTATCATACCTCGTCTTAAAACTATTTGTTCCGCCTCCCCCTACATCGCTTGCCAGACTATTCCACTCCCTAACAACTCTGTGGCTGAAGAAATACTTTCTAACATCCCTTTGACTCATCCGAGTCTTCAGCTTCCAATTGTGACCCCTTATTTCTGTGTCCCATCTCTGGAACATCCTGTGTGCTTGGAGTCCTAACTAGTGCGTGTGGAGTCCTACCTTAATGAGATAAATCTCAACATAAGGCTGGAGGGCTGGCAGGAGGAGGAGAGCGTCAGCTGAGGGGCGTCGCTCAGGCTTCGTCCTAAGCAACACCTTCGTGAGCCCCTGCAGGAGAATAGACGATTTCCTGCCTCACACAGCAGCCACCAACCGTAGCAACAGCAGTAGTGGTAGCAGCAACGCCACCAACAGCAGTAGTGCCACCAACAGTAGCAGCAGCAGCGGGAAAAAAATTGCTTGGAACAAGTGTCAAATACAATAGACTGCACGGGAAAGATTACTGTAAAGGGGGTAAAACCGGGGGGTTTTTCTCACCACCAGTACTAGGGCTCATCCCATGGTTAAGCTCTCACTTCACGGGGGAGTGCCCGGGGTTTTGATTCCATTTTCAATCGTAAAATATACCGGGGGGTTTTAGTTAGGGTTGGGTCGCATCCGGGGACAAAACTAACCTAATTGGGGGGTTATTATTATTATTATAATCAAAAAGAACGCTAACCACAAGCTAACGCGCTGCAGGGCAGAAGGGAAGGAGGGCATCGGGTGCAAAAGGGGATGGATAGCAACAGGTTAGGGGTAACAGGGGGGCGTGGTGGTAAAAAGGGAAAAGGGCGCAAGAGACTAACCCAGAAAGGCTGGGGGATCAAAAAGGTACATCAGAGTTGGGAGAAAATGGGTCGTTGTAAAGAAGTAAATGGAGAGTCAGGTTTAAAAGGGAGGGCCCACAGCAAGAAGGAAGGGAAAGAGAGATAGTAAACGAAGACGACTTTGGAGGTAAATTCTGCGTGCTCGTTGATAGAGGGGGCAGTCTAACAGAAGTGGTAATCATACGGGAACTTGACACTGCCACAAGGGAAAACAGGGTGCCTCTCCAGAGATACCCATGAAAAGACGGTGGGCCAATGCGAAGGGGGGGAGGAGTGGTCCCCCCAACTTGGGCACTGAGACAAGAAACGGCCAGTAACCATGCTGGGTTTAACAGAATGAATTTGTTACCGAGCAGATTACCAACTTTGTTCCCAAACGGTGCAAAGGGTGGGTAGCTATTGCAGCAAAATAGCCAAAAAAGGGAACACCTCGATGGGAAAAATTGGTAGGTCATATACTGCGACCGCCAGCAGTGCTGCCTGTTATTGCCCTGTACTCGAATGACCAGGGACCCAACAAAAAACAATATCTTTATTTTTGGGTAAGATAGGGGCGTAGCCAAATTTGGGATACGGAGAACTGGGGATAATTATCAAATTTTCATGCCTGTAGAGCACAAGGGGCTGAACAAAACCAAAGATGACACAGGCATAATGCAATACAAAAAGGCGAAAGAAGGCATACATTTCGCAGTAAAAATGCAGCTGAAGATAGAAATCCCTCGACGACGCGCCGGAAATACTGCTGCGAATCCGCCCCCGCTGAAACTTAAGCCATTGTGTACACAGGGGTGGCATAAAGGGGATGGAAGTGATCAAAAAAAAGAGAGCGGAACCACCGGGGGCAGTTGACTTTCGAGCAAGGGATGAGAAAGAACGACCCGAACAGCTGGAATTTCCCGGGGGGGGCGGGGAAAAGTGAAGCACAAAAACATATAAAGGGGGAAACTGAAGGAAGAAAGTGAATGTAGGCAAAGAAAAGGGACGGAAAAAACGGGCGGCGAACAAATAAAGAATGTCTACTAATACGGTGACCTTTCAAAAAGGAAAGGGATTTTTAGTCGTGAAGCGTACATAAACGAAGGCAAGGGCACAGGGCGATCAAAAAAGGATGGAACATTTGCTTCTTATAGGGGCTCTCAACGGGGAAGAGCAAAAAGCACCAAGGCACAAACGTAAGCCTTGGTATGGATAGAGTTAAGGCTAAGAGAGTAGCAGAGGGGGCCGGGGAATAAATTGGTCACCATAATCAGTTTCGATAAAACGAGGGGCTGAATTAGGCGAAAAATTTCGAGATCAGCTCCCCAGGAAAGATGAGCGGGGGTTTTAAAAAGGGTTTTACCGGGCTGTGACAATTTGCCTTCAGAGAGGAAATGGGGTTTCCAGTTAACCGGGCAAGAGAAGGCCTAAAAACCCTGACTGATCACGTCGGGATAGGGGACCTAAGATACAAAGGATAGGGAGATAACAAGCGTCAGTAAAAAGTAATTGGGTGAGTTTGTACTTGAAAATTTAAACCCATTGTGGGGCCCAATTAAACACGGTCACCGCACGGAGAAAAAAGCAATAAGGTGACGCCGCCTGCACGCAATAGCGAAGTCTCAACATAGATGATGACCAAAATTGGGGAAAAACAGGGCCAAAAATCATTTATACAAAGAAAAAGTTTGTTTTAAAACACTCCCTAGGGACACCTTCAGTTTGGGCAAAGTCCAGGGAAAAACTTTATTGACTCGAACACGGAAATGCTGTCAGTTAAAAATTTTTTAAAGGGAAAGGGATGGTAGATTGCCCGAGGCCAAGGAATGGGCCTGGGCCAAAATTTATACCCCAAGTTGTGCCCTATGCCTTCTCAAGGTAAAAAAAAAAGGGCAATACCGAGTGATTATGCAAAGGCTTTACAAACATCGTACCAAGCGTAGTAAGGGTCTAGGGTAAAACACCCTTTACGAAACCATATTGACTATGGAAGACGTTGTGAGTCTCTAAAAAACCACATTAACGCGTTTTAAAGAGGGTTCCATCACTTTGCAAACTGCACTTGTAAGAGCGAGGGGGCGATAGGGGGAGGCATCATGTCCTGTAGTACCCGGTTTTGGGGAAAAAGGGAAACAATGGCAGATTTCCCAGCGGGGGAAGAACCCTTGTCCCCAAAAAAGATTGAAAGTGAAGAGGACAAAAGGGGCTGACCGAGTAAATGTTTAACATACGAAATAAATTCATCAGGCCACTGCCGATGACGCAAGCTGAAGCGTTCCCTCCATTTTTTGAAGGTAAAAGGCACATTATACTGTTCTTCCCGAGAAGAAAATCCAAGGGTACAAACTCTCTGGCAGACTTTGAGGAAAGAAACGGGGGGATAGAGGAGCCCTGGGGAAATACGGCCCAGATTGTCCAATTCCCCATGAAACCGCGAGAGGGTTTGCTATATCAACACCAGTGACCCTAAACAGGAGCCGGGTCGGAGAGTATTTACCACTAAATTTTCCTCATTTTTTTTCCAACTGCACTCATAAAAAGCAGAGGTGATGGTGGAAACAGTCTCGCCAACAAGTGCGTTTAGCTTAAAACGATGACAGGGCGAGCGATCGCACCTTCGCTTAAAACAAAAATTCCTCCACGTTCATTGTACCGGTACCCCCCCCATCAGCACGTTCAAACGACGCACGGCACAAGCAGAGACCCCCAAGGCACCACTTCGGGAAATGCCTGCCTGAGGTTGGGTATAGAATGAGAAGCTGGGGTAAAACTGATTCAAAGAGTGTAGGAGCTCATCAATGGAGGATGAAAAAGGGAACTCACAAAAAGCATGAGGTGTGGTAAAGATCCCAATTTTGCCCGATCAAAATTGCCAGGAGGGCTGGGGAAAGGGTGGGAATAGGAAGAAAGAAAATGATGGGAAATGATCGTGTCAGTAACGGGTAAACAACCAGGTGAAGTCTAGGCATGGGAAGACAGACTGAAGATCGATGCAAGAGAGAAGATACGGGATCAAAATGGGTGGGAGTCCCGTATTAAAACATGAGGGGGTGAAGGGAAGAAAAGCCTCCAACTGAATGCCAGGAGCACAATGAACCCCCCCCAGAGAAATGGTGGCATTTAAAACACCAAAAACAGAAGGGTGGGGGTAAGGATAAAAAAGAAAGGCAAAGTCTGGGGTGAAAATCTCGAGAAAAGGGGAGAGATAAAAGAACATATTGTAAACCCTTATTCAAATGGATACGGGCTCATGTAATGCAGCGAGGGATGGACAAATAGTTGACATACGGAAATCATTGCGAAAGAAGGGCACTTTTATTAAAGGTCCCCTCTGAGAAAAGGGTCCGAAGAAACAATAAATTTTTAGCCTGAAAGGTTGGAAAACAGCCGGTGTAATTTTGGTTCTTGGAAAACAAGCACCAACGGGAAAACCTGGGAAACAACATCTGAAGCTCACCCCGAACCCCTGAGGGGCCCCGGATATCCACTGTAATAGGCCAGATTTGGGGAGAAGAAAAAAATCAGGGAAACGTAGGGAAAAGGGACCTCGACTAGAGGGGGAGAAAAGTCAACGTGTGGTGGGATTGGAAATGTTCAAGTACGAAAGGGAAAGGGGCGTTGCGAAGAAGGGGGGGTGAAGATGGGGGAGAGGGAAAAAAGGAAAAAGGAAGTGAATCTGTCCATTGAAGGTTAGTCTCTGCAATATATTCGAAAGGCCAAGTGTTTTCTGAATTCAAAATGTATTGGAAACCAATTGGAATAGGAGAGGGGGGTGAGTAAAGATTGGGACAGTAATGGACTGTACCAAAGTAAGGGGGGGGAAAAGTGAAGGGATGGAGAGAAGTGTGGGGGGGGCAGAAGAGTAAAACCTGGGGGGGACAGAAAAGGGGGAAACTGGGGGGGGACGGGGGGGGAAGGCATAACGAGGAGGAGGGGGAAACTCCACCTTTTAATAAGCCAAGAGAGGGAAGAACTAGGGACGAGACTGAAATTTTAAAGTGTGGAGGTGGGAAAAGGGGAAAGGAAGGGGGGAAAAAAATTTAGCAAAGGGATTTTTTGGACTTCTGAGAGAGGGGGCGAGGGATTGGTGTCGTAAAGAGGCTTGTCGATCGGGGCTTGTGAGGGGACGCGAAATGTAGAACAATGAGTTTGTAGTCGGGGCGTCAAGCCAAGGACACAAAAGGATTAATGCTGTATGGGTATGGAGGGGAACACAGGGAGGCTCAGAAAGGGACCCCGAAGGGGGGGACTTGGGAAAAACAGAATAAGAAACACGGGTATCTCCCTTTGGGGGCGGGGGATGATAACGCCTACATAAGGGAGACCTTTTGCCCCTTTTAGGGAACGTTTTACGTTCATTTAAGTAGACCTGGCAACGGCGGGGGTACAAAGGGTGACTTCATTTCAATTAAGGGAAATGGAGTTACTGCAAGATGTATTTGAATGGTTTCGGCACCACAGACGGCTTTTGGCTAGATCTGCAATATTTCGCTGGGTGACCAAAAAAGCCAGCAATTTCTACATTGTTGCGGTGTAGGTAAAACACCTTTCAATTTAACCGATGTCCCGCGACTTACAGAGGACGGGAGTTCTCGGCGTCAAAATTAAACGACCACATTTCAAGGGTAACGTCTCCGCCCCCGGGCAGGAAAAAGGGCTAAGGTTTTACTTTGAGATGGGGGGTCCGGGGTTCCCGCTGTTCAAAAAATCATTGCCACATGACGGAAAATTTTGTTGGACATGGAGGGGCAGAATGACAGTAACTACAAAATTGAGGAAAATTTTTTCAATAGGTAGGAGATATCGTATTCGAAAGGAGAGAAAGATCATGAGCTGGGTAGCATTCTGGGCATGACAGCGGTACCGCTCTTAGAGCGGAAAGAAATATCTCTGCCAACATGACGCAGGAGCGCTTTGCAAACTATGGTCAGAAAGGTAGGCAGAAGAAGAAGTTGGTCTTAAAGTAAAAATTTTTCCTTGTTGGTCCGAAACGAGCGTGGAGAGGGGGTGCTTGACGTGTCGTCGTTTTCCCCAGTAAAGGAAGGTAACGACGGAGCATCATCAGAGATGACTTGGGGTTTAGGGTAGGACCGGAGTTGGTCCGGCGGAAATGGGGGGGCATTCGAAAAATTGCCGTACCGTAAGGGAGACCGGAAGCATAGTCAAAGGAGAGCGGATTTTAAAAAATCAAGGATCAGTCGAAGCCCCGACCGAAGCGGGGGAGGAAACGCACCACAAAGGAAAAAGGGCTCAGGGGTTCCAAGAGTGGGCAAAAAAACAAGGGAGGGGCAGAAGGGTGCGGACAAGAAGGGGGCCGGGGGGATGGTTTTCATGGCTAGGCTGCCATGGTTAGGGTTTCTCCTTTCTTTTTTTTTTTTAAGAAAAAAAAAGAAAAAAGAAAAGAAAAAAAAAAAAAAAAAAGAAAAAAAAAAGGGGGGGGCGGGGGGGAAATTCCCAGGGGGAATGAAAAGGGGCCGGGAAACCCCCTCCCCCCCCAAAAAAAGGGCCGACACCGCTAGTAGCGCAGATCACATGGAACCCCCCTGCCATCCCCCAACCCCTTTATGCCATAAAACCGCAAACGGAAACAAAACCCACAAACTGCCCCAGCACCTCGGTGGACAAAAAGAGGGGGGCGGATTTCCCCACAAAGCATACCTCCTTTTACCCCACCCCCCCAATTCGAAAGGGGCTTCCAGAGATACACCCGCGCCCAAAAGACACCCAAAGCCACTCCGGGATACCGGGGGGGATCGGGACATCCCTAGGAACCAGATTCCACGGCAAACACCCACCGCCAAAAACCCCAAAGGAATGGGGTGGACCCCGGTTCCTTCCCCTACCTAGGGAAATAGCGCGCCTTGGGGGAAATCAGAAGGCTAAAAAAAGAAGGGCAAAAGGGAGGGGTAGGAGGAGGGGGAGGGAAAGAAAAAGGGGGGGATGGGGAGGATGGGGTGGGGAGGGGGGAATGGGGGTAATTGTTCGGTCCCAGGAAGAAGACCGACAGGGGCTAATTCCCCCAGACCAGAGCCTCTTTACCACGCCAAGGAGCCCCCCCTTTAAGAGGCTAAATTTTCGGAAATGCCAGCATAACAAACGGGTTTCTAAAATAGTATGTCACTGAGTCACATGGTCTGTATACCTTGTCAGACTTTCGTAATAAAAATAAGTTTTGAGCTAAACTCCCACTGAGCTACTGACTCCCATAGAAGAAAACGTAACATGCAAAAGAAAAAGAAACAGAAATTAAGCAAAACTAAAGAAATCTGTCACTAAGAAGCAGTTGAAGGGGATACTTGAACAAGCTACTATAAAATACAACAGCTTTTGCGACACCTATTTTTTAATACACGGGGGGAATACCCAAGTGTGCTGCAAAAATAACTATAATCAGTAGTGTCATTCTAAGAACCCAATTTTTAAATTTAAAATTTAAGAAGCTTCAAGGGGAGGATGGATTTCTTTTATAGTTAACATTTCGTCTACCTATTAACGTAACGATCCTCGGTATTTTAAAGTTTAAAGTACATAACTTAATTTCCCCAATTTCCCTTTTTTACCCCTTTTTTTTAAAAACTGATTCACACAGTTTAGTTACCTTTTTTTTTTTTTTTTTTTTTTTTGTTTGTTTGTTTTTAAGGTTAACTACTACTACTAATAATAAATACTGATATCTACTGTATCTTACAGCTAGGCTTTGAATAATAAGATTACAAGTCCCCTAATGGAAACAAGTTTTTGACTTTTCCGAGTTATCCTAGATAATTTACACACGTTACTAGGCATGATAGTTATGTTTATGTGTACCTAAAACTTACTCATATTTGCACATTATATTCTATTACTTTGCTAACAAAATAGAGCTCGTGGACCCAGCATGTGCTTCTCTTACTACCGTCAACATAATAGGTTTGATACCTAGCGGTAAGAAGGTACCTGGGAGCCAGCAGACTATTGTGGGTCATGTCCTGGGGAGGTGGAGACCCATGGGACACGTACGCTGACTTTCCTGGATTATCTGCGTTCCTAACATTGTGTTGTTTCAAATCTTAGTAAAGCCATGGTATGGGTACAGCACATACTATGAGGTATGGGTCACTACTCACGGTGGTAGAGGCTTGTAGACACCGCTGAGAATGTTGATTAGGAGTTCATCAAAGCAGTTTGCCTGGAAGGGGTGCGTCAGGGCACACAACTCGTACAAGACGCAGCCCACAGCCCACATGTCTGACTTCTGATTGTACGGCCGCCTGTACATGCAGCCTATTATACTTTAAACCTATTTAGGCCATTTACCCGCTAAACCTCTTACAAATTATCAATTTAGAAAAGTACATTTGAAACTTGCACCTAAAACCTATATCACATTTTCCCCTTATTAAAAATTGAATTTAGAAAACATATTGCAGTTTGGTCCTTGAAGGTGAGGGGAAGGGTAGCTCCAATACCTTGGAACAGGAGTCCCTTACCATGAAGGCACTTCTCCAGACACTCACCGCTGGCATATCTCAGGAGACAGGTAGTAAGGAGTACCTATAGCAGTGGTTGCTAAGTCCTGTTTATCTCTCAGGAACCTGGAGATGCCGAAGTCACCAACCTTCACCACATTAGTTTTCGTCAGGAATATATTCTGAGTCTTCAGGTCTGTAATGAAAATTCTAATGCAAGGGTATTTGAACTAAATATTTTGAAGCCGCTATAACTTAAGTATATATCGTGACTAAGTGGCAGTGTACTTGGCTCTTAATCAAAAGGATTTGGGTTCAACTTAGGGCACGGTGAAGACCTGCTACTTTCTTACAGTGTAATAATGGAAGAAATCACAATAAAACGTGACTGGATAGATGCAAAAATACCAGTGAAAATAGCAAATGAAACTTGAGTTTTCATGTGTTTACACACATCTTCGTATCCTTTGAAGATGAGTAAGAATATGAAATCCCTCGGGTTTCCCATTTTAACTGGCGTTTTTGCATAGTAATAAATAGGCTGACTTTTAAAATTAAATTTAATCACAGAATAACGTTCTTCACTACGCTGTTCCTATAGTCTTAAGGCACAGGCAAAGAAATTGCCTTCATGCTTGTGAAGTCTTGATCAAAGAATTGGGTTCACCTTTAATTTTCTTTGTTGAAATTTGATCGCCTCATTCCCTAGGCTCGGTATGACGCAGAATTTTTTTTTGCACACATCTATGAATGTTACAAGTGCATACCTCTGTGCAGGATGTTGTTTATGGAGGTACTGGACAGCGATGATTA